GGGGGGGAGCAATCGATTTTTAAAATTTCGCCTTAGGGGGGGGGGGGGGGGGTGCCATCTCCTCGCCTCTCACGGAATACCACGATACGGTATACGGTACGGTACAGAAAATCTTGGTTGTGGAGAAATCAAGCTTTGAAAATTGGTCCTGGGGGAGGTGCCATCTCTCCGCCTCTTACGGTAGTCGAGAGCTTTCCCACGAACCGGTACCGGTCGCGCCGCTCGTAAGTAGAAGCGTTGGTAGACGGCGAAAAGAAGTCTCGGAGGCGCCTTCGTTGCCAATAAGTCGTTCACCATCCATCAACCCTTCTACTGCACGTACGATCCACGCGACCGGTACCCGTTAATCGAAAACGCCTCGGTGCACGTAGGCATCATCCTGTCGGTCGTGGAGCTTTTAAAAATCGGTTCAGGGGGTGTGGTATCTTACGTCACCCACGGAATGATTCGGTACGTACCATACTCGCTTATCACAATTGCACACGCTGTCACTCTCCGTCTTAGGCAACAAAAGTGTGCGAAATCCAACCATCAATAGCTATTACCCGCGGCAACAGACTCGTCTATTCAAACAAAAAAAATACACTTCAAGCAGCGTACATGGTCTGCTGCTGTTCAGGGTGTGTAAAAATCTCACCTTGATGTCGATCTTGGGCCCGTAGAAAGCGCCGTCCCCAGCGTTAACTCGCCAGTTGCCTTTACCAGCAAACTCGTCCAGAGTCTCTCGGAGGGAGTTCTCCGCCATCTCCCAGAGGGCCGCGTCTCCCATGGCCTTCTTCGGCTTGGTGGAAAGCTCAAGCTGATGGGTCGAGGAGGCAAGCGGGAGAGTGATGAGACACCCGGCATGGGGAAACGCTAGCTCCCAAAGTATAGGTATTGGTGGGCCCTTACTGTTGAGGGAGGGAGGTAGATACTGCTACGGAGGCAGTAGGCAAGCGGGAGAGATTAGACATTACCCTACTGCTGTAGATGCTGCCTGCCGGTGGGTCCTTCCTTCGAGGGAGGGAGGAGGCAAGCGGGAGAGGTGAGACACGCGGCATCGGGGAACGCGAGTAACCCTACTGTAGATACTGCCTAGGTGGTCCTTACTTCGAGGAAGGGAGGAGGAAAGCGGGAGAGATGAGACAAAGGGCACGGGGGAACGTGAATTGCCCTATCATACAAGTTGCGCAGGGTGGGTCCTTGCTTATTTCTCGACTCGTGAGAGACGCATTGGGGTGTGATCAGTGCAGGGATCAGTAGAGGTCCCTAAATAAGGCCGGTCGCCTGTTAAAGTATGAGGCCGGTGGCAATCGCGTGGCCCAGACCGAGCGTTAAACGATAGCGCCCATCGCAACCATCACAACGACACCATGCCGTCAAGTACAGCAGCGGCACAACATACGACACATCACTCCAAAGGCGTCAATTACAGCATCACATGAATCACAGCTCACGCACATGTTACAGCTCATTTCTGCCGCCACCGTTTCACCCAAACCAGCAGCAAACAGCAATGGTCCGCCCCTCGTAGGTCGTGCCGACGGCATCGCAGCAGCACCGCACCATCAAGTACAGCAGCGGCAACAACATGCAGGTCATTACGACGCCATCACACCCTCCACACCATCACCATGCCGTTACGCTGCGGCACAAGATGTGGTACAACGTGGCAGTGCCGAAGGCATCAATCAAGCATCCAAAACAACAAACATTGGGCGGCCCACCTTGTAGGTCATGCCGAAGATGTCGTAGACGTGTCTCATGAACTCCAGGGCGCCCATGACCTCCTGCTTGATCTGGTCCTCGCGGCAGAAGACGTGTGCGTCGTCTTGACAGAAACGCCTCACGCGGGTGAGACCCGTCAGGGCTCCGCTCAGCTGAAAAAAAAAAAAGAACAAGAGAAGATTTGGTGAACACACAAAATCGTGTTTCTCTGAATAAAAAAACTTAACTTCATGAGACCCGTCAGGGCTCCGCTCAACGGACGAAAAACACGCACGGCAATACGAGGCGATGTGGGTAAAAGACCATGGTAACGGTCCGAACAAGAAACCGCAACGAAGACCACAATCCACGAACGCGCTCGCTTTCACCAGCATGCTCCAAGTCAACACGGAGAGGAGGGAATCCTCGCCAAGGCAGCAAATATGGTAGCTCTTTGTCACGGGCAGCATGCATCGAGTATCGAGTAGACGAGGCCCTGAGACACACGTCATCAAACGGTTGTCACACAAAAAGTATATAACATAAAAAAAAGGAGCAAACGCGTTCCCACTGCCGGGTGAAAGCGGGGCAAAATGACCCCTTCCCCCGCCCTCCTACACTAAATTAACCATGTTCCCATGTAGTCCACGACTGTATGCAACTTGATGGTTGTTATAGTAGTCAACGTCACACCAAATTCTGAAATATGAACTCTTAATAATAGGAGTCTGAATTTTTCAATCGGATTTTGTATTACTCCTGGTAAACCCGCGGAGCCCCCCCCCCCCCCCCCCCACCCCGTTCCTCTTGCCGGTCGTCCCCCTCATGGTGGTTTGTTGTAGCCGTTCTGTGCCGTTGTTGCCTAACCTTGTGCGGCCACCTTGTAGCCGTTATTTGGCGCTGGCCTAACCCGTCTTGTACTTGTCCGGCCGCCTTGGTATGTGTCTGTGTGTCTGTGTGGTTTTTCAGGAGGTTTGTTTGTAAGGCGTGGATCCTGGGGGTGTTGTGCTCTTCCGTTGTTGCGATTCGTGTGTCTGTGTGTGTACACAAGTGTTTTTGTTTTTTTGGCATCGACCGCGCTAGCCGGCTGACCAATGAAAAGACGTCAGTCTCAGTGCGCCTATGGACGAAGAACGCTTCTGACGCCATAAACGCTCCTGCGGGCAATGATCTGGAACCCAGTGTGTTTTGTTTCGTTTGTTAGCATCGACTGCGCTGACCGGCTGACCAATGAACAGACGTCATGTATATATGTGTGTTGTGCTGCGCCGTGCTCAGTGTTCACGTGCAACGCATTTCTTGTGGTTGCTTTTCGGACAGCTGTCAGCCGGCGACGTATGGTAGCCAAAATAACCTGGTTTTGGCGTGTGATTTCGATGGAGTCAGCGACCGAGGTCTGATTGGGTTCGTTGTAGGTTCGCCATACTGCGTTCGGGTGTCCTTGCCATCTCACGAACGAAGGACGACCCCGCGCCGCCTTGTGCGCACGCTTGATTGGTTGCCAAGATCGCGCTCCCGTTTCAAAGGACGCCTTCTCGTTTCAAAGAACGCCTTCTCGTTTCAAAGATCGCCGTATCTTTTCATAGAACGCTTTCCCGTTTCGTAAAACCCCTTCCCGTTTCATTTGAGGAGAAGAGGTATGCTCTGCAGGAGGGTCGTGAGTTAGTTACAGGATGTGAGCAAGGAAGCGTTGGTAGCGTCGAGATCAGCAGGTTGGACGAGGAGAAAGGGAAGCAGTGTGCCACCGAAGTCGCGAACAAACTCCACTGCGTTACGGCTGAATTGAAGACTCGAAGGAGCAAATCCACTTGACAGGAGACCAAGGTCTTGGCTCAACGGGACAAGAGAGATACCCGCTAGGGATGGAGGAAGGGCCGTAAGGCTAACGGGAAACGCGCATGCGCGGTGTTGTCTCAATAGTTTAACCCTCAGGGTACGGCTCTTTTTCGCCGGCACGTTGGGGGCCGGAGCTGAGGTGGTGGGCACGGAAAAAGCACGGAAATTTCGACGCGCTCGTCTTAGCAGCGGTACCCTGAGGACCGTTGTCGAGGCAACACCGTACTTGGTTGTATCCCGTTCGCCTTGCGGCCCTTCACTCGCGGCCGCAGTCCTCATCTTGCCTCGTTGAGTCAAGACCTTGGACTCCTGCAAAGTGTGACCGTTGCGTGCGGGTGTCTCTTTCAGCCGCAACGCATATTTGTGGGTCCTGTGGCACGCCGCTCCCCTTCCCACCTGCTGATTTCGACGCTACAGCCAACGCTTCCTTTCGCCTTGCCCAGTTGAGCCAAGACCTTCAATTCGACTCCACAAAGGAGGACTTCTCCTTGTTTGTCTCTTTTTGCCGTAACGACGTCACTGCCGTCGTGAGGAGGGGCTCCGCGGTATGCTGGGCAGAATACTGCACAGCAGTAGTTCAGGACCTCTATAAGGCGGTTTATATGAGGCGGGTACCCGCTATAGGACGGGTGAAATTGGGTGACACAAACGGAATATTTCAAGACGGTTAATACATTGAGTAGTGAGTAGTGGGGTACCCGCTATAGGGCGGGTGAAATTGAATGGCACAGATGGAATATTTCAAGACGGTTACCGGTTAATACATTCAATAGTGGGGGTGCCCTTTATAACGCTGGTGAGTCGGTCTGGCGCATACCCGCCTTATAGAGGTCTGACGACTGCAGTCATTGGCACGGTAGGTTCGATGTTTGACATGTCTCGGGCTCGTGTCTGGTGTTTTTGGCTTGATTTGGTTGACGAGGGGCAAACGGTGTCCACACGTTCGCATCACGTGCCGTGTCTCCGTGTTTTTTTATTGTATTGATACCTTTATTTTTGTTTTTGTCGATCGGTCGCGCGGACGCGTTGTTTTCTGCCGGGGGGTTTCGTGTTGCCTACGCAGGTGATGGACGAAGACGACAATAGCAAGAAGCTCACCATGGACGAGCACCAGGTTAGTCGGGTTTTGCTGTTGCCTGTTGCTGTTGTTGTTGTTGTTGTTGTTGTTGTTGTTGTTGTTGTACAGGTAGGGTCCATGACTGGCGGTATATTCCTCCCGACAAGGTACTCGGGCTATCATGAATCAGCTCTATGTGAGCCACGGCACAGCGGTAGTAATGCTACGGACTCGGTGCTTGATGCCACCGCTGTTGCTTTCGATGCTGTTGTTTGTTGTTGTTGTTGTTGCACGTTAATTGCTCGCGCTGTTGCATGTCATTGCTCACACTGATGGCAGACATGGCGATGACTCCATGCACGATAACCACAGGTGATACCGTTGGAGGGACGAACAGAGCGGCTATCGAAGGGAGACGATGTGCTGGCTGTCTACGTGGACACCACCTCCTTCTACCACGCTACCATCGCGATACCGCCGAGGGGAAGAGGCCAAATCGTAAGCACCACTCGCGTCTAGTTGGCGCCCTCAATTAGGAACAACAAGGCTTAGATTGTTCGAAGAAACGAGGGGGAAGAAGTCAAGTCAAGACGGCGCTCGTGTCGAGCTGGCGCTTGAAATTAAGAACAATTATGTTAGCGATAAGGTTTGGATTTTGTTTGTGTTAAGAGCTCAGAAACACGGCTCACCGTCTACACTACGGTATGTATTACACCCCGTGCTGACGGACGGCAGTAAAGAAATAAGAAACTATGCTCGACCCCAGGGTACCGTGTTCTTCTGTGCGCGGGGCAACTAACTGCAGTGTACCTTGCACAGTACCCTTGCTTGCCACTAGTTTGAGTCGCACAAGAATCTATCTCCAGTCGCACCCACCTGCCGCTCCCCGTAACAACTACGGTAAGTTTTTTGTTTTTTGAACGAAAGCGGCCGCTACTGGTAAGTACCTACACCGTCCTTGTTATGGCAGGGCAAGAGACTCCACGGCAGAGGACTTGACGTGCGCAAGTAGACACACTGCTGCTGCTTCTTTCTTGTGGGCGCGCTGTTTCCTTTCGACATCTCTATCTCCGAACCCTGCAGGGGAGAGCAGATCGACGGCGGAGCGGAACGCTCAATAGACATCGAGTGTTTTTTTTTCTATCCTGTCTTGCTCCCATGTCTTTGCCGGGGGCTGCAAGCGGGCGGGGCTCACGTACGGGCTCTGCCGTCAGAATGATGGTGGTGTCCGCCTCGTGTATACCGCCCCTTGCCGCAACGACTGCATCGTACGTGCGACCAATTCCGGTGACAACAACGGAGCGGGGGCGCTTATTTTCAGACCAACCACCCTATCCTCTTGTGCCACATCCAGACCCGACGTGGCATGCCCTCACGACCCCCCGCTTTCCCTCGTCGTCTCGCAACCCTTGCTTTTTTTTTTGTTCTCAGGGAAATGGGGGGACGGCGCACGTGCAATTCGTGGACGATGCGGACGAGCACGGCGTTACACCGCACCGGGCGGTGCCAATCATTCACATTATAAAGCTCCCGCTGGGCTCGTGAGATTTTTCCCGGTGTGTCTGCTGTTGTCGTGTTGTCCATTCTGGCTTCTGGGAGAGGCGAGAACAAGCAGCAGCACAGCTGCAGCTTGTTCGTCCGTGTTTGCTGGTGGAAGGCATATTTCCTCTGATTGGTTGGTGTTGTTCGAGGCTGTAGGTTGGTTCATGTTCCAAGCAACCCGAAGCCTATGGGTGAATCAATTGGCTTTGGCGGCCTCGGACTTGTGCGCTGTACCTGCCTGCCTTGGAAAGAGAGTTTGGACGGAACATGCCGGCAGCGGGTTATTCCCAGATAGATGCACAATAGTTGCTGTAGCCTTAGAGTAAGTAGCCTTTCATGCATGTTCCTCTTCAGAACGCACGCGTTTGCATGTAGCCCCCAACGGGATTGGATTGTTGTGTGAAGATCACGTCGCCTTCTTCGTGAAGAAGAGAGAATTGTCTTCGACGGACGTTTCGAGTGTATGTATGGATGCGGGGATGGTGCATGTATACAACCTTTCGTTTTGGAAGGTGACATCCACGTTGATTGATCCCTTCGTGAAGCGCCACTGTTACTGCTTGCTGCGGATACTCAACTCGCGTAGAGTGAGGTAAAAGTTTCACCTGACGGGGGGAGTGCCTTAAGCCTACCTACGACCGGAGTCTTACGCCTGCGACCACCGGGGGACAGCGCCAGTTCTTTGTCGATATCATCCACGGGAAGAAATAACATGTGTCAAGGATACGAACCGAGCGGGCTCACTCAGTCAATATTGTTCTGATTGCCTTCTTGGTCACTCGTGGCAAGGTGTGAGCGAATGGTGAATGCCCCCTTCGTCGGCATCATCTTCCCCATGTCAAAGATCCGCCACACACCAACTGGTCGAGCAGCAGTGGCAAATCGAATCATCGTGTAAAGATCTATTGCTGATGGGTTGCTTGCGTTCGTTCCGTAAAAAATCCCGCAACCATTACATGTAATTTCTTGATGATGTGTGGGCCGGTGCTCGTATACGGAGATCGTCTGCCGCGCGGGCGGCCCAGTTGTCTCGATGTGGCCTACGGTAGTGGGCGTCTTGTTAACCTACCAGCAGTCTGCTTCGTATGTAGTTGGTCAGTTGCAGTGGTGGTTGGTGTCGCTTGAATTTCGCTCTCTCGCATGGCCCGGAGTGAACTTTTTCCAAATTCTGCACAACAAATACCATTTGGACGATACACATAATGTATGTATGTATGTATGTATGTATGTGCGTACATCTCTTTTCTTCTCAGATATTTACCCCACAAACAATGAACCGTTCACAAACAATGGACTCGTCGGGAGTATATTTAGGTGAACCAATCGAAGGCAAAAAGGCACACACGCATGCATGCATGCATGCAGAGGGAAAAAAAAAGTGATGGGAAGAGAAAAATGCCCCGGGTGCGACCACTCCTCTTGTATTGTACATTTATTTAAGCAATCCCCGGCGGCTGATGATAAAAATATTAATAAAGAGGTACATGCATGCATGCATGCGTATATATTATAGTACATGCAAGCTTTTGGCTAGCTATGCTGTAGGAGGTAGGAGTTAATGGGTGCACGAGTTTATTTATTTGTTGTAGAGGCGACGAAGCACAAGTAATTTTTGTCTAACAAACATTCTTTCGCAGGCATTTTGTCACTTTTCTACACACAGCAGTGTAGTGTAGTAGCCGATATGTATGGCGGACAACAACATAGTATGTAGTAGAAGGAGAAAACGTATGATACATAAAAAATATATGTGCTGCATGCATCCATCCATTGATCTCTGTATCTCTGTATCCAGCAACAGCCAGCTGTTGGGCACCACGGTGATCGCGAAGAAGATAGCACAACAATGATTTTTTTTCATCTTGTTGTTGTAGTTGGCCTGTTCTGTGGTAATCTACCACTACTATCTATCATTGTCCTCACGTAGTAGGTAGGTTGTTGCTCGCGAGGCGGGTTCCGAGCTAAATTAAATTAAATCTATGCTAGCGGCTTGTACCGAGACTATGTTTGCCACCGCTAACAAGCCAAAAATAATTCTTCAAACAACTGGGAGGAGAAGGCGCGAACCCCGCGGCGGCCTGCTGGCCCCGCCTTTTTTTTCCGGGGACGGCTAACGTGCGTGCCCCCTGCCCCCCTGTCCATTTTTCTGTGAAGAGGCACTCTTCTCGTTCCTGAGTTGCGCGGGTTCCCGAAAAGTTACCCCGCGATCCTCTCTCTGGCGCCACCCCCCACCTTACGCACTCATTCCCACAACCCACAACCACTTTTCCTCTCCGCTTGCTTGAAGCATCTTTACAGCTAAAAGGAACTTTGACAGCCAACCACAAAAAACAACAACATCAACGACAGCAGCAGCAGCAGCAGCAGCAGCAGCATGGGTTTCCAGAAGGAAGTGCTCAAGCCGGCTCCCGCCGGTGCCCAGAAGCCTCAAAAGTGAGACGGGGAAGAGGTTTTGTTATAGCGTGCGTCATCACTCGTTTTTCGGTATTCGTCGGCGGGGGTATGTTTCGTAGTTGTCCGTTGAATATCATCCTTTCCTCCGTTCTTTGTATTTCCCATATTTTTTGGGTGTGCCGTGTAGTTGTACAATTGGGGCGGAGACAGGGCCGGCCACAGCTTGCGTCATGCGCCCACGCCCGCCCGCCGGTATGCATGCACATTTTCCTGTGGCTGGCTGCAGATGGTTGTGGAGGTGCTACAACCCCGCGGTTCTTCTGTGTGTGGTCCTAGTTCGTGGAGATTTTGGAAGCCTTGCGCCGCGATGTTCGCCCTGATGTGTTGATTGCTTACTTTTTCCCATTTTCCACAAAGAAAGTCGGCCAACCCCGTGGATCTTGCGTTCTAGATGTACCAGGGCCTTTACCCGACAAACGCACTTTTTTTTGTTGAGACAGCAGCACTCCAGTCGAAGTTCAGCCCGTTCCTTTTGTCCGTGTATCTCGCTGCTGTTCCTTGCGGTGACAACAACAACAACAACAACAACAACAACAGGGGGCAGAAGGTGACCGTGCACTGCACCGGGTACGGAAAGAACCGCGACTTGTCCGAGAAGTTCTGGAGCACGACCGATCCAGGACAGGTGTGAACCGCGGATTCAGGCGGGGAAACCTCCGCCACGTTTCCTCTATTTCGTTGTATAAATACATATGCATATCTTCAAGCAAATTGCCTGCCCCCGGAGCAGAGAACAACAGAGAACCTTTGGTGCTTGGCCCACTGCCCGCATTGTCGGCCAACACACCTGTTATTTGCCGGTTGGAGTTTTTTCGGGGTGGGGGAAGCTCTGCATAGCTCTCTTCTTCCAAAGCGTGATGGTCCTTGGCCTGCGCATTGTGTCACGTATCCCTCCTCTGTCGGCTACGTGGAGCGAGCCCACCCTCTGTGCTGTGTGTATGTGCGTTTCTTGAAGTAGCAAACACCCGCGTTGTTTTTTGTTTTTTTTGTGTGCCCATGTTGTTGAAGGTTGTAGTAATGTTCCGTCTTCACCCCTGTAGACAGGCCCTCAATCGCCCGGTGTGGAAATACATTCATTTCAGCTACCAGATCTGCCAAGCTGGCCGGCCGCTTGTCTGCTGCTGCTGTTGCTGCTGCTCCTGCTGCTGCTGCTGTCATGGCCGCCACGGGTGATGACTTGAAGCGGACTTTGCCTCTTGTTGTCGGGGTTGGCGTGTATACGACCAGTTGCTGCTGCCGTGGTGTGTCTTTTTGTCTGAAACCAAAGTACTAAATAAAGAATAATGCCCACTTGCAGCGTCGCGTGTTGATCGTTGGGTCCCAACACAAAAAGAAGCCCTGACTTAAATATGCATACCTTCCCGTGAAAAGAGCTGCCGCAAGTGATGCTGCGGGCGGTCCGGCCCGTCCTTCCTCAACTACTACGGTACGCACCCCCGGTTTCTGGCTGTAGATACAAGCGTGCAGAGGGGTTCAACCTGTGAACGTCACAGAACAACAGCACAAAAAAAGCTCTCCGGTGTTGTTGCAGCCAAAAAAAGAAAAAAAGGGCTGGAACAAACAGAGCGAGCGCACTCGTTTACACTTCTTTCTGCAGCAGGAGTATAGTTTTTTTCGACCTTCCTGCCTTATACTCCATCCTTTCGTGCCTCACCCCCTTGTTTTGTTTTGAAAGCGTTCCGTTCGTGCACCCCCAGAGGGTGTAGCCGGTGGTACATAGGCCGATGCTAATCAGAACACAGACAAAAGAGAAGGCGCTTTTGATGATGAGAGGATAAATTTATAGGCGCATTATTTCATTATTTGGCTTTCGTTTGATCTATTTTGTGATGTCTGCTGTTGGTGCGGATCGAATCTAGAATAATACTCTTTCAAGGTGCATATGCACGACGCATGTAAACTAAAGCTCCACACCCGTATGCATGTGTAGTACGTGTCTCGGCGGTACTCATGCAAGTCTGAGCGAGCGATAGGAGGAGAGCGCCCACTGCTAGGGTTCATCGTGTATCCTCCCGCGCTGTTACACCCTTGGTTTGAGCGTACCTTTTTAGGGTAAGTTAGCCTGTGACCACGGGAATTGACCGCGTCAAGTGTTGGATCAGTACGGACATATGAAGGTACTGGGTAAAGAGAGATCGGAACGGTTTTTAATGTGAAGACTAGACAACAACGACAACAACAACCCTGCCTGCAGGGGGGATTTTTTTTTGTTTGCTGGGTGGGTTACCAACCCGAGACGATTTTGTTCAGTGGAAACAACTCAACTGGATTGGCGTGCAATAGCGACTGCCGGGTGTATCTACAACAACAGCGGTGTTGGTGTTGTTTGTACAACTCCGGGCCGGGCGGCGTAGTGAGATTGGAGAGTCAACCCCCGTCAAGAGAGATCGAACGCCCCCAAAAAGAATACATACATGTACAAGCGTGCATCTTATCGCTAAATAAAGTTGCGGCCGGGGGGGTCTTCTTTGTTTTCCCGGGGTAGACTTAATAGAGGTTTGGTATAGTGTACAATGACTGAAAGACTACCCATCATTCAATACGACTGCTGTAACCAAGCAAGGTTTATCGGGTTGTGCTACAAGTTAGCAGGAAGTGTTCGCAGTGCTTTTCCCTGTCACCGTTCTATCCCTCCCGAAGACAGGGGGGAGGATTTTTGTCGTGATTTAGCACATGATGATTCGGCAGTATAAATATTAGTAGTTGTATACACGACGGACGGATGCATACGTACACGAACAACCAACCGAAATCCCACACTTGCTAGGCTATGGTGCTACTCCACGGAGCTCACGGTGTTGCCACCTAGCCCATGTGAGACCATTTTTCTTGGCCGCGCGGGTACGTACAGTGCGGCCCGGTCTCCCCACCGCCCGCCTCCTCCACCGCCACACATTTTCTTTGTCTTGACGTTTTTCCCCTCACATATCATATCTTCACAGCGCAGTTTTTTTATTCGGTCTGCAGACGACTCAACCTCTTCGTTATTTCTTTGTGATGCGGACGAAGAAAGTAAGAAAACCCTGTCCGACGTCTTCAACTCATCATGTTGCATCTCATCTACATACTCTCTCTCTCCCTGAACATCCTTGCGTTTTCCTCCCCCACGCTTTTTCCATGGGTTTGATGATCCCCTCCGCTTCACACCGCACGGCGGCGGCGCCGAAGACGAACAGTTGACCCTGCAACCCAAGTTTGCCATCGCGTAACGCGCAAGCAAGAATGACTTCTTTCGTGTACTGCACTAGCCAGCCCCGCATGAAACACCTACAACCATCATCTTGTTGTTTCCCCGAAGAAAGTTCTTCTTTTTTATTTTTTTCCTCCGGTGCGTATGCATGTACCGGGGAGGAAGTGTGACCATTAGCATACCCTCCACCTCCCCCACGCCGGTTACCACAGGTCCCGTTCAGCTACAACATCGGCCTGG